TTTCAACCAGACGACGTTAATGCGATAGGGCTAATTTCAGATGAAGTATCACTACTACCATATAATAATCAGACCCAATATAGGCGCACGCGTGAGGCGAGAATTGAGTAACAAACAGCGCCACTTCCGGTTGATGAAAACGTGGTCCAGTTGGATGTTTAGGGATCTATCGGGACATCCAGGGAGTTTTGTTTATTCACTTATGAGGAACACAGTCACACTGACGATTAAGCTGCTTGTCGTGCAAAGGCTGAACAGATCCTTGACATCTGTACCACAGAAACTACCGCTTTGCTTAGCCTACGGGGTAACAGGACACCTACGCGGGCATGGCGCAATGCAGCCTACCACAAAACTAAAATATAATCCTGCAGGTGAAGTGTACCCTTCCACGGGAGGTAAAATTTAGTAATCATCAATACATCGAATTTGTACCGACGGGTCATACGGCAGGCATTAACCAACTTATTTTTACCAGATAAGGACAAACGTTCCAACATGCAGCAATGTACTTACCTTTCGAAATTATGATTGCTCCAATCACGAATTTCTCAGTTCCTAGTAAGCTGCGCAACTAATTTTCGCAGTTGTAATAGATATGACGAAACTTGCCAAGAAATTAACCTGGCAATGGGAATTAATGAATCATAAATATTCCCTACTGCACGATGACCTGCGTTGGTGTTCGATGTCCCCGCCAAAACTGTGGCCTCGGAATGAACACAGCTTAGGCTAGCAGTTACGAATCAGTCAGGCGAACCGGCTGCTTACACATAAGGGTATTTGCTTAGTGCGTGACGATCTGAACCAGATCGATGATGGTTTGCATGACAAGTCACTCGAATCGAAGAAGTTGAAATACTGCTCTATGAAAACTCTTGTTGTCTCACGCACCAAACCACATGCTCAGCAAGGGGTCGTCAGATCAACTTCAGGTAAGCATGAAATAGATATTGTATCGTTCTCTGTGTAAATAACACCGCATCAGTGACGTCTCAGCAAGAAACCTGTTTATTCCTCTTGCGGCCTCGCTAGAACTTCTGTACGGGGAACATCGACGCTACGTTAGGTCATGACATTAATATCAAATCTGCATGGCCACTATGATGCAGATGCGTAACAAGTTTCCACAGGTAGCTTGCACATGGAACTACAAAGCGAAAATTTCGTTTCACAATAACTGCAGCAGTAGCTTGACGTACAAGAGTCAACTGACTGGCCATGGTGTATATTGGAACATCACGTTTCGCCATTTGAAATATCACGGTAGTTTGAGCGAAGCATGCCGTATCAAACTGAAAACGAACCCGTGCGCTTGCGCTCCTGCTTACCGCTGCTCAAACTAAATCTTCTCATTACTGATCCCTTATAACCTAACTTCAATGACAACAAAACGCCGGTGACTCGCGAGGCAGATTATCGGACAGATGAACGAAACTGCATGCTTATCAAACAATGGTCCCAAAGCACGGTCATGACACAGTTCATC